ATTTGTAGCGGCTAACTGAGGTCTATTAGCTCCCAGTTTCATTAGCCTGTCAGAAATCCAAAGGTGGAAAAGCACACCAGCAAATGGAAACCATAGTCGTAGATAGTGGATCCAGCCACACTATCTTAAGAAACAAAAGTTACTTCATAAACCTAACCTATCAAACCGCAAATATTAGCACCATCGCGGGTCCCTCAAACCTTATCGAAGGATATGGCCATGCCTATGTGTTGCTATCAAATGGCACACAACTTGAAATACCAGATGCTCTATATTCTCCTAGTTCGAAGAGAAATCTTCTGAGCTTCAAGGATATAAGACAGAATGGTTTCCACATAGAAACCCAAGGTCAAGGGAACAAAGAATCCCTCCTAGTCACTAAAACCGTAGACGGCCATAAACAAATCCTCGAAACCATACCCGCGCTCTCTATTGGACTTTACCATGCTAAAGTCAGTATGATTGAAGCTAATACCACTCTCAAAGCCCGGTTTACTGATTATACTATTTGGCACGACCGGCTCGGTCATCCCGGTGCAAATATGATGCGTAAACTAATTCAAAACTCTCAAGGGCATACCCTCAAAGAAACCGAGCTTATCCTCAACACCTCATGTGCACAGCTTGTTCTCAAGGCAAATTGATCACTCGGCCCTCACCAGTTAAAATCTCTAAACAAACACTTCATTTCCTAGAAAGAATCCAGGGCGATATCTGTGGACCTATACATCCATCTTCCGGACCATTCCGGTACTTCATGGTCCTTATAGACGCATCGACCCGTTGGTCATATGTTTGTCTCTTGTCCTCTCGGAACCAAGCCTTCGCTAGGTTCTTGGCCCAAATCATAAAATTGCGGGCCCATTTCCCTGACTTCCCACTAAAGACTATCCACCTTGACAATGCTGGTGAATTTACCTCACAAGCGTTTAATGACTACTGTATGGCCATGGGGGTAACCGTGGAACATCCTGTAGCACATGTCCATACTCAAAATGGATTGGCTGAATCATTCATTAAACGCATTTAATGGATAGCCCGACCATTACTCATGAGATCAAAGCTCCCGGCCTCAGCATGGGGACATGCAGTATTACATGCTGCTGAACTCATACGCATCCGGCCATCTAGTGAACACAAATATTCCCCATCCAAACTACTCTCGGGTCATGAGCCAGACATCTCCCATCCTAAAACATTTGGGTGTTCAGTATATGTACCCATTGCTCCACCACATCGAACCAAAATGGGACCTCAAAGAAGGATGGGAATATATGTTGGTTTTGACTCTCCCACCATCATAAGATATCTCGAGCCAACCACTGGAGATCTCTTCAAGGCCAGATATGCGGATTGCCAATTCGATGAATCGGTATATCCCTCTTTAGGTGGTGAGACAAACAAGCTGGTCAAAGATCTTTCATGGAATCAAACATCATTAAATTGGCAAGATCCTCGGACTCTAGAATGTGATTCAGAGATCCAAAAGATTATTCATTATCAAAAGCTAGCTAATCAATTGCCAGATTCCTTTGCTGACTCGACCAAAGTAACCAAATCGTACATCCCAGCTTGTAATGCACCAGTACGAATAGCTGTCCCAACGGGACAGACCCAAGTTGCTACAGAGTCTGCACCACGTCTCAAACGGGGCAGACCTCTCGGTTCCAAAGATAAGAATCCCCGGAAATCAAAGAAAGGTGCAATAACCGAAACCGGGATTCCTGCAATATCAGACATAGCCGCGGCTGAGACTCAATCTAATGAACCCTCAATGGAAGTTCGGGACGCCGAATCTCCAGGTTCAGAAGATAACAATGAGATCTCCATCAATTACAATATGTCCGGAATACAATGGAATCGAAAAGAAGTCCACTTAAATGCACTCTTTGCATACAAAGTAGCACTTGATGTTGCGCTCACGCAAGAGGATCTAGAACCCACGTCAATAACACAGTGTACACATCGAACAGATTGGCTAAAATGGAAAGAAGCCATAAACGTGGAGTTAAAGAGTCTCAAACTCAGAAACGTGTTCGGTCCGATCATCCGGACCCCATCACACATCAAGCCAGTGGGCCACAAATGGGTCTTTGTGCGCAAAAGGAACGAACTCGGTGAAGTCGTTCGATACAAAGCACGGCTTGTAGCACAAGGATTCTCACAGAGACCCGGAATCGATTATGAGGAGACTTATTCTCCAGTGGTGGATGCAACAACATTCCGATTCCTCATAAGTCTGGCCATAAGAGAAAATCTTGATCTGCGGTTAATGGATGTTGTAACCGCATATCTCTATGGGCCCCTGGACAACGAAATATATATGAGACTCCCAGATGGCATTGAACTAAAAGACAAAAATGCATCTCGAGATCAATACTGCATCAGGCTGAACAAATCCTTGTATGGACTGAAACAAAATGGGCGTATGTGGTACAACCGCCTCAGCGATTACCTCATCAAAGAAGGCTACAAAAATGACCCCATCAGTCCATGCATCTTCATCAAGAAGTACTCAAACAAAGGATTTGTAATCATAGCAGTATACGTGGATGATCTAAACATCCTCGGAACATCTGGTGAGATCTCCCAAACAGTCGACTGCTTAAAAGCAGAATTCGAAATGAAAGACCTAGGCAAAACAAAGTACTGTTTGGGATTACAACTTGAGTACATCAAAGGAGGAATCCTTGTGCATCAATCGGCTTATATCGAAAAGGTACTCAAGCGATTTAATATGGACCAAGCTCACCCATTGACCAGCCCAATGGTAGTTAGAAGCTTAAGTGATGACCCTCTTGGTCCCAAAAAGGATGATGAAGAAATCCTTGGTCCTGAAAAGTCATACCTCAGTGTTGTAGTAGCGTTAATGTACCTGGCTAGTCACACTAGACCAGACATATGTTTCGCCGTGAACCTCCTCGCTCGATATAGTTCATCTCCAACTCAGAGGCACTGGAACGGTATAAAACATCTCCTAAGATACCTTCGAGGTACTCAATACTTAGGACTCTTCTATACTAACCAAAATAAAGATGGGTTAGTCGGCTTCGCCGATGCAGGATATCTATCAGATCCGCACACTGCCAAGTCTCAAACTGGCTACGTTTTTACGCATGGAGGAACAGCCATCTCTTGGAGATCAATGAAGCAGACACTCACTGCCACTTCATCAAACCATGCTGAAATCCTAGCCATTCATGAGGCTAGTAGGGAATGCGTCTGGCTGCGCTCCACGACTCAGCACATCCGCAGAGATTGTGGTATGGACGAAGACACACAGCCCACGGTGATGTATGAAGACAACGCGGCATGCATAGCTCAGCTCAAGGAAGGATATATCAAAGGAGATCGGACGAAGCACATTCTACCGAAGTTCTTCTCAACCTCAGACTGGCAGAAGGACGGCACTCTCAGCGTTCAGCAGGTCCGATCCAGTGAGAATTCAGCTGACCTCTTCACCAAATCATTGCCTACTTCAACACACCGGAAGCTCGTCAAACAGATAGGAATGTATAGACTTAGAGATCTGCAGTGATGCTACAATCAGGGGGAGTAATGCGTGTTGTACTCTTTTTCCTTCACCATGGTTTTGTTCCACTGGGTTTTTCCTGGTAAGGTTTTAATAAGGCAACATTCCCCAGCGCATTATCGAGATCCCGATTGAGTAGCTGACCCGGTTCACTCGTCCAAGGGGGAGTGTTATAACACATATCATATATGGACTCTTATACCGGCCCATTAGGCCCATCAAGGCATTATACTTAACTTAAATTCTCTATGTATTCTATATATACATTCCAGATTAATAAAGTTTCTAAGTTTTCACAACAAAAAGGATATTTTAATATATATTCAATAGAATTGAGGATAAATTACAGCTCCCCAAAGAAATACAGCTCAGAGTATTTGAGTTTGTGAGACAACGTGACCAACCTCACGGTCGACATGTGGCGGCAGACATAGCCTACGAGACGTCCACAACATTACGTTACTTTCTTGATTTTATTTATTACGAATTGTTTTTTTTTTTGCTATATAATTAATTTATTATATTAATACAATTATACAAACATCAACTACAATATCCAAATCACATGTATACACCGCACAAGTTCTTGAACCAAATGAAAAAAAAATAATTACCTCCATTAATAATTGTTGAAAAATCATTTTATATGCAAAAATGCTATGAACATAATAAGTTTTTTATTAAAAAATATGTAGATTCCTCAAATTTGAATACTTTTAATCAATTCAGCCAGACAGTGAAAGTTTTATATAGTAATTAAAATGATATGAGAAGAAAAATATAGCATGCAATCAATTTGAGATGAACTTTTTAACATATTTTCTCCCAACATGTTCTTAATCTTTAGGTTTGAGAGATATAAAAAACTTAGAAGAATACAAGCTAGATACCAAAAAAAAAAGATTACAAGCTAAACCTACGGTGAAGTGAAGGAAAAAAAAATCTTTACTTCGTATATTGCTCTTCGTGCTGTATATAAATTTTAGGGGGAAAGCAAATAAAAAGCGAGATTATTTAACGACCAGAAACATTTTTAAGTTTCACCCAAGTTACTTCCTCGACATTTCAGGCGATGATCCAACATTTTAGGGTTTCTCCCAAGTTACTTTCTCGACATTTCATCAGGCTATGATCCACTGATGATTTATCCTCTTAATTAATTATGTCTTCGAACATTAAGAAAAAAAAAAAACTACAAATACTCCGCATGTTTTAAATTGGTTTTAAGATATGTATTATCGAAAATGTGTGGCAAGAAGATACTTATCCACAATGTTCCGTAAAAATCTCAAAGAAAACTATACTTTGAAAACTATCATCAAACTAAAACCCTGAAATATTTAGTCAATTATCTATAAAAATACTCAACAAAACCCCTGATATTAGGACAAAAACATTGATTGTACGTTGTATATAAACTTAAATTTAAAGGTCTTCCTCAAACACAATTAATCACTAAGAGATTAACATGGCAAATGCAGTCTTTCCTTTAGATCTATTTTTGTTCTTACTATTTTCATCAATATCTCTAACACTAGCAACAAATTATCCACTCTCCACAAAATCACGATGGATCGTCAACGAGAGTGGCCACCGCGTGAAGCTAGCGTGCGCGAACTGGCCTTCACACCTTCAGCCAGTGGTGGCCGAGGGGCTAAGCAGCCAGCCAATGGATTCGATATCAAAGAAGATAAGAGAAATGGGCTTCAATTGTGTTAGGCTCACATGGCCACTCGAACTAATGATTAATGACACTTTAGCCTATAATGTTACGGTTAAACAATCGTTTGAGAGATATGGATTGGATCATGAGCTTCAAGGGATTCACAATCACAATCCATCCATTGTCAATATTCCTCTTATCAATGCCTTTCAGGCAAGTATACATAAATAATCATGAATCAGGACCAAAAAAATGTTTTCTTCTTTTTTTGGCACCGATTCCTCTTTCGTTTATTTTCAGACTGATTAATGTTGTATAAATAAATAATATTTTGTTTTAACTATATGGTAACTTCTAAGGTAAGTGATACTTTTCTTAGGCGGTGGTGCATAGTCTTGGGAGAAACGATGTAATGGTGATACTTGACAACCACAAGACCGTACCGGGCTGGTGTTGCAGCAACGGTGACCCGGACGCTTTCTTTGGCGACCCAAAATTCGACCCGGATCTATGGATGTTGGGTCTTAAGAAGATGGCCACAATCTTTATGAACGTTAATAACGTTGTTGGTATGAGCCTGAGGAATGAACTTAGAGGCCACAATCATACAGCAAAAGATTGGTACACGTACGTATATAAATTCCCTTTCCTTTTTTACCATTATGACCATGCGTGTGAAGCTTGAAGGCCAAGGAAATTAATGCACGTTAATTATTTAGCTATTCTAGATCTTAACCGATTTTATTCCCTTGTGCTTTAAATAATTAAATCCATAAGAATAATTGAGTATAAGTACCATTTTTTTTTAAAAAATGATCATATATATTATATTCATGGGTTGATATATAGGAATCCAATGTTCATAAACGTAACAACAAGAATCAACGCAGACAAATAATTTATTAATTGACATGATTTCGTTGATTCTTAATTAACTTAAATACAAAAAAACATAATTGTCTGAATTATTCATATTGGAAATGATATCTTTCACATGTAGGTACATGCAAAAAGGAGCAGAAGCAGTGCATACATCAAACCCTAACGTTCTGGTCATACTCTCCGGGCTTGAATTTGACGCTGACCTAACTTTTTTAAAAGATCGTCCAGTGAATCTTAGCTTCAAGAAAAAGCTTGTCTTGGAGCTTCATTGGTATGCTTTCACCGATGGTACTGGTCAATGGAAATCGCACAATGTCAACGATTTTTGCAGCCAAATCTTCGCTAAGGAGCGTCGTACCGGAGGTTTCCTTCTCGAACAAGGCCTTCCTTTGTTCTTGAGCGAGTTCGGGACCGATCAAAGAGGCGGCGATTTCGAAGGAAACAGGTATAATATATTACATTGAGATCTTTTGTTGCATACACATTTGCACGAATATAGAAATAGTTTAATATTAATTATACGTTATAGGTACATGAGTTGTATGCTAGCATGGGCGGCCGAGAAAGATATCGATTGGGCGGTTTGGGCGCTAACGGGAGTTTATTATTTCCGTGAAGGTAAACGAGGTGTAGTTGAAGCTTACGGTATGTTAGATGCGAATTGGCACAATGTTCATAACTATACTTATCTCCAAAGGCTCTCCGTGATTCAACCACCGCATAAAGGTATAAATCAATCGCTATCTTGCTTTTCTTTGCTTGAAGAGTTTAACCTAAGTTATGCACCAATGATAGTAAACGTTTGGTAGATATTAACTAAAATTGTAACAGGACCCGGTATAAAGCACAATCATCACAAGAAGTTATTCCATCCGTTAACCGGACTCTGCCTAGTGAGAAAATCGCCTTGTCATGAGTCAGAGCTCACGTTAGGTCCATGCACAAAGGATGAGCCGTGGAGCTATTCTCATGGAGGTACACTTGAGATCAAAGGAGGTACTCAAAGATCTTGCTTAGAAGGCGAAACAATGGTTGGAAAGAGCGTGAAACTTGGCACGAGATGCACAAAGGTTAAGCGAATATCAGCCACAAAGATGCATTTGTCGTTCAAGAGTAAGGACGGTTCGTTGGTATGCTTAGACGTGGATTCGGATAACAATGTTTTTGCTAATCGTTGCAAGTGTTTGACGGGAGATAGTAGTTGTGAACCTGCAAGCCAATGGTTCAAAATCTTCTGAAGTATATTTACTGATCTATATATGAGAATAAAATGCTTAGAATAAGTGTCTAATTAGCTAAGATTAGTGAATTGTTAAGTTGTTTTTGGTTCGGGATTCCGGGATACAAATCCGAGGTTTTTATTTTATTTTTCAACCCAAAAATTGCTCTTCTCGTTAAGAAAAACTTAGAAAAATAGCTAAAGTTTATTTTAAAGTGAATCTTTGTTGACGACAAAAAAAGTGAATCTTTGTTATGGTGTTGGATAAACTTTTTCAGTTTAGAAAGAGATTACTAAATACGATTATTTTTCTTTAGTGAAACTGAAACTGAAAAAGAAAGAAATTTCCACCAAAATTTATGGCAGCGAAGGGCCCCACTGTACGTAGCAGTATATTCCCACGTGCAGACTTCTCGTGATCAACAGAATCATAAGGCATTATGACACAAACCAATGACATAAGATACCACTGTGACTAAGTATGCACAAGCAATATCGATTCGAATTAAAAAAAAAAATTTACTTAAGTAAAAGATACCAGTTTTATGTTTATTTTGTTTGGTGCTTTCACATGAATTTTTGGTCTTTATAGAGAAATCCCACAAATTTGCTAGTTTCTTTAATTTTTTCTTTTGTGCTTTCACATGATTTTTTTAGTTTAATTCCATGAATGACTTCAAAGGAAACCACTCTCAGTCAATCTTCCTTATGTTTCGTGCACTTAAAAACTACTCATTTATTTCTACTATTGAATTATCTCCACCTGAACCTTAAATCTCAAATCCTCTTTTCACATATTTAAAAAAAAAACACAATCAATCCATACATGTCCAACGCGAAACTAGTGCATACATAACCAAAACAAATCTACATTAGTAACTTATACATACATAATCTTAGCTACGTTGCACACACACACAAAAAGAAGAAATCTTAGCTACTATAAGCTTTATAATCTGAATCTCATACAACTTTTACAAGAGTCGCTTATTATATAACAAGCCACTCCATCTCCATGTATAATGAAGAACTCTATTCCTCACAAGACACTAATCGATAAAAATTAAACACACATCTAACTTAAGGTACAGAAACATTAAAACCGATAAGTTTCTGAGCAATGCTTACTTGGATTCACATTTAGTGGTTCAGCTAGAAACAGAGCCAGCATCAGCTTTAAGCGTGACCATCTGATCTGATTCATACACCTATACTTGACCTTAATTCAGAACCCGGCATGTATGGCAGCTTGAATCTAGTTATTTCAGTAATATCAAGAGCAACTATAACTTCCTTTCCATTTTCAAACTCAAAGAGATTCCAGATCGTCCCCCAAATTGGTAGTTTACCGGCTATTCAAATCGAATTCTCCTGCTCCACGCCAGTTTTCTTGTTCACCCGTCTCTCCATTCTCATTCTCCTCATCATTCAAGAAATCTTCTGAAGGTTCCTTCTCATCTCTCTGACTGTTGTTTCCCCATCCATTCATCATCTCATCAGGGTTCATGTTACGTCCTTGTTCTCCCATCTCGTGGCTTAGCTGAATATTGCTTCCCTGATTCCCAACCGCATTAGCCCTCAATGGGTTACGAGCCATTATCTCGGCATGGGATTGTGACTGTCCAGCCTGAGCCAAAGCCGCCATTCTAAGCTTAGCCTCCTGAGCTTCCCGGCCAGCTTTCTCCCTATCCATTTCTGCTTTCAGTTCAAACAACGCCTTCCTCTCTTCTTGTAGCAAAGCTTGTTCTACCATCAACCTTTCCTCGGATCTGAACTCTCCCATTGCTCGCTTTCGAGTTATAATGTTGAAAGCTAAGGCTTGTTTCTCAAACGTTGCTGTAAATTCAGCAACTTTGGCAGCAATGTTGTTATCCCATTGTTGAGAGCGGGATAGGGCTTGGCCTGTTGGGTCTGAATCAAGGATTCTATCATCCTCTTCTGCTTCGTAATCTGCTACTACATGATAAGGAAGTAACCTGCGTAAGTCATTGGAGAACACACGTATAAGTAATGACCAAGAACGGGACCATATACAGAATGTTCAATCAAGGCAATGAATTTATCTCACAAAAATGGAAAGTTTTAGCATAGATATAAGAAAACGGGAAATTTGTAGAAGTAATAAATGCCAATTTTTATAAGAAACAAATAAATGATTTGATAGATACTAGTAACCTCTCGCAAGCATCTTCGAGAGAAGAGAAAGGTCGCTTGAAATCTGGATGGCAGACACGCCAAGCGTCCTGATAAGCGAATTGTAGCTCGATGTGATTCAAAGGACGCATCAATTTCTGCTGTTGTTGTTGTTGTTGCTGCTGCAGCATCTGCTGGCTCGATACGATCTGCTGCTGTGGCTGCTGCTGCTGAAAACTCGGTGTGTGCTGTCCCAAATTAGGGTTAGGGTTAGGGTTCTGCTGAGGATGAACAATTGGTCGGTTCTGGATTGACCCAGGGGGTCGGAGATGCACGTCGATGTTTGACGGGAACCTAGACATCGCCGCTTGTTGCTGTTGTTTCTGCAGCTGCTGCAACATAAGCATCTGTTGTTGTTGTCTCTGTTGCTGTTGTAATTGGTGTTGATAAAGGAGTTGTTGTTGTTGCTGCTGCTGCTGGGGATGATTCCCTCCCAATGGCTTCGTCTCCTCCATTTTTGGTTTTTTTTCTCCGGGATCTAGGGCTTTTTTGGAAATGTTCTTCGCCGTGAAAATAGCTGGTTTAGGCAAGAGCTGAATGACACGTGTGCCTTAATCTGGGCTAAGATAATAGGCCTTTTTTAACGATAGGCCCAAGGTCATCAGCCCAACTACTCAGACGGAACCGGGAAGTCTAGGAAAACGATAACCAAGCTGAACCAAGAAATGTTTCAAGTTTGATTTGACATTCAAAGGTTTTTTGGGTTCTTTTTCAGTTTCTTTATCCTTCCTTCATCGTTATTTGAGAATTGAGATATTGCCCTTGAAATATTGTCGAATTTAACTAGTTGATAGATAATGATTTAGCATTATGATTCTGCGAATATAATACAATACATTAAGTTGCACTAAATAGTAAATAGGCGTTTTACACAGTAACTTGGAAAAAAGAATAACATAAATTACACATGAACTCAGGACTTGGTCCTTGAGTTGACACCGAGAACTTTGCAAACAAGTAAACCCTATGGACTTGCTTGAAGCAAACGGCGTTTGTCGCATTTAAGGTTATGGTCCAAAAACCAGTTCCTTCAAAGATCTAAACGGCGAGTTGTGACTATAAGCCACTGCATCTCTCCACAAAGCCAGTCCTGTTTCACAAACAATTAAAACGAAGAAGTCATTTTCAGACACTGTTTTATGAGTATTTCCCATCTGAAAATATGGCAAAAACGAAGGACGCTTATGTAAGAGAGTATCTTTGAGGTTATGAACCTAGCCATGAGATCAAACCAACTGTGGCGGCCACGAAGAATGACTTGCTGGTGCAGTTATACCTGCATTTGGACAATCCTTGGTTATGCTCTAGCGAAAAAGACCATTGAAACCTCAAGAGAGATGTGCAAGGAGTCTTACACGTATAAGCATAGAATGTTTCCATATCCATAAAAGAGAGTTGCCCATATCGAGCCAGTGAACCTACGTCACAGTTTGATAAATATCAAGTACTATGTGTGAATTTTCAGCTGAAAGCCTTTGAATTGAGAAAGCTTAGCTATACCACATCAAATCACGGATAAATAGTGCTCGTGGGATCATAAGCCCGTTTCCCATCATCGCAAGTACCATTGTGATTGGCGATAAGCCTTTTATGTTTTCTGGGTTTAGGAAATTTGTCCACTGAAATGTCGAAGTAGAACATCAGATATCTAATAGGCAAGGAGCTTTTACGAAATCAATCAAAGAACAGAGGGAAAAGAACACAAGTTGTTTTACCATTTGGGAAATAGGCATCCACATGAACATAAGTGTCGCTGTCCATCCAGATAAAGACCCGAAAAACCTAACACCTTCCTCTGAGAGTTTCCCTGTTCGAGCCTGCATTTTTACCAGAGGTAAGTTAGGAGGAAGGAAGAATACTTTATCCAGATAAAACAACGTAACAGCTGTTTTGAAGAATCTATGAACCCGTGAATTAGATGTCAGAGAAACCAAACACAGACCTATAGAAAAAGCAGCTGGAAAATCATTTACAGCGCCAAGGCCATCATTTCTCCCTTTCTATAACTGAAAAACTCCTATGTCCTGGCACTGGGTTTTTGTTCATAAAAAATCCAAAAATACAATATCGACTGAAAATGTAGTTGTAAGTCAGCTCAATGTTACATTAAGGTCTACAAAGTTTACAGCGTCTGTTGAAAAATTCAGTTCCTGCGACCATGATTATGTCAGTAGCTTAGTTTCTAGTCAAGTATTGGTTGCATTTCAGTTCTTGTGGATATTATCCAAGCTAAGATAACAATTTGTTAAATAGGCTTCGAAAAATAATATCTAAGAGGCTAACACTACCGATATGACTGACGAATACAAAGCATAAGTACTTGAAAGCTTACCATAATTACAGGTG